GGCCCAATCAAAATTGGTGAGAATCGGTTTAAATTTAGATATGGCCCCCATATATATCTTCAGCCGATTTTGGGTTATTTGTGCACCAAAATGCCAATATCAGTTTCATTTTAGAGGTACATTCAATTAATTAAAGTACATTACACTAAATAGCTACCATATATATGTTTCGTCCGTCCCTCACAATCGCAATATACACTTCACAACAATGATCTTTGGTACCAGAAATCAGATATAGCTCAGAAATCAAGATCAGTTTAGATTTGGATATAACTCCCATATATATCTTTATCCGATTTCAGGTTTTTGTGTGAACCACCGACGAACCGACGGAATTCAGCCCAGAAACAAGTGCTTCAAATATTGGTGATAATCGGTTCTCATATGCTCTCTATAGCTCCCATATATATGTTTCATCCGATTTTGTGTTAAAGTCTCTCACATGCGTTATATGCACCCCACAACAATGATATTTGTTCAGATACAGCTCGAAAATAACTCTGTCAAATTTATCGAGATCGGTTCAGATTTTTATATACTTTCGATATACATCTTCATACGATTTTACGGTTATTGTCCACCATATATGTAATATTAGCCCAAATTGGATAAATTTTTTCGTATTCACGCCAATTTCTCCATTTGGTGGCACTCGGTCCGGTATACCTATTATTTTTATATAATTCTTATCGAAGTCATATCATGCACTATATTTGGTACTAGAGGTACAAAACCCTTCGTCCAATTTGTTGAAGCTCGATTCAGAGTTGGACATAGTTCCCAAATTGTGACTACTCTAAATTTCAAATAAGGTTCATAGTTGGTATGATCTACTTCACATAAATACTCAATATAAACTATTTTGTTACGGGAGAACTACTAAATACACATAGTCGTGTTGGGTATCATATAGTCCGACTTTTGACCTTTCCTTACTGGTTTGTTTTATATAAGTGTATATAGTACACGCATGTATGTAACCGACCATGTTGATTAATTCTATTATAACATTTTTCTCTTCATAATGTAGAGAGTAACGTATTCGACCGGACTTCAACATTACTTTAAATTGTTAACATACCAACATATTTATTTATGATTTTAATGATGGTGTGAATTTTAGAAAGACACAACATTCCTAATAACATTTACACACACAGAGCATCTTCGGGAGAGATTCACAGTTAAAGCTTCATTCACAAAACACTTTTTAGATAAATGTGTTAATTTGTTTGGGGCACAGTGACATTTACACACGCACATCGCCCTGGGAGACAGCATTTAATTGGATTACAAGCACTTCCAGGGCATACCGAGACCTTGGACAAAGAACTTGTGTAAATTGAATATTTCTCTTAATGTGTAGACATGTATGTGTTTTTGTTTAAAGCATCATTTGAATGTATATTCTGTGAAATGACCTTATTGGCCTCGATCATTGTCTAGGGGACAAATTTAATTAAAATGTAATTCACAATAAACAAGCGAAACGTGATTCGTTTGAATACAAAACTCTTAAATGGTTTATTAACAGGAAATAGACATTAGTTTTTTTTGCCGAGAAGTTTAAGAAATGCTGTTGTCAATTCCATTTATATCTTATCGCGAGATGAACGGTTTCAGTCGGAAAAAACTTGATCACGCACGTTTGTCCGAAACATTAATACAAACGAATAGTCTGCCAGACGTCCAGACAGACCATTTGTGAAATACATATTTTGCAATCTCTTAATCATGTATGACGATCACATCGCAGACATTTGACACCCAGCAGACAATTGGCAGACTCTGTCATTTTTAAATATGCTAATTATATGATAATTTAAATACGGTTTGAACTAAATATTTCGAATTGTTGCTTTGTTGACTATTTCCACTTATAAAACTAACAGCAAATTAAATATTATTTTTGCAGAGATATAGGTTTTTTTTTGTTTGCATTTCTGAAAATGTTTAACACATTTTCTTGAAAATAATCTTTAATATTTTTAATTTGTATTGATATTTTTAAAGTATTAATTGTTGGCGAAAAATATTTGCTTAAAATGAATAAATAGAAAATTGAATAGAATATATTTAATCAATTTTAAGTCTTTTTTTTTCTTCTCAATTTCTCAATTTCACAAACGTGTACATTTTCAACCTTACTGCTTGATATTCGATTCAACTGATCCATATGTATTTATTAAAAAAAAACAAAAACAGCTTGCATTAAACTCTCCATTGAGTTGTTAGATTCTCTCTCATGACGACAAAAGCTTTTGATTTACCAAATCAACAGAACAGATTAACATTTTTAAATACCGAAATATCAAACAAATCGTCTTTTCAAAATTGTACTTGCAGTCGATTCTGGTTCTTTGCATATTTTAAACACACATCACTATGGGATGAGGAAGCCTTTAATACTTTCAATATCATATGTTGCTGTAATTTGTTTTGATTAAATATTCTGGACTAGAATAAACAAGTAAAAACAATCAAATTTGCTATGCCAATCTTTCGATTAGGGAAATAATACAATAGAGGCCGGACTCAGTATATAAATAATAATACAATGATGTACCAAACAATAACTTGAAGTGTCACATACTAGACAATACTCGTAGGTCTATTTTACAATTTTCACAAAATTATTTCAGACAGTTCTAATAAAAATACGGGGAAAAAATATAAGGGCTCAAGAAAAACGTGAACTGATATACATCATTTTGTCCCGGAAAATTAGATTATAATCTATTATGAATTTTTAATACAAAAACCTGGACCAATAAAGTTAATTTTTTACCAGTGTGGTTGCATTGATTTAGGCTAGATTCGACATAGTGTCATATGTAAAGTGATCTTTTTGCATTGTGTGATTAACAATTTTGAAGCTGAATTTTAGGCGTGCCTAACAACTTTCAAACATAAACAAAACGCTATTGTTTTAAATACTATAAATACTGTACAATGCTATATAATATACATATATTATATTTATATTGCATTAATATTGCTATATTAATAAAAGAGTAAAGTAATTGGCTGACTTACTTAACGATGCATCAACGCCCAGACGAAACAGCAGAAGCTAGAAACTTGAATTTTTGAGTGAGGGTCACTCTTGGTCCAATGGGGTCAGATTAGGCTGGGTTTTTGGAAATTCGTACTAGATCGGAATCCTGAAATTTGAAGTTAACATAACTGCCGGAGTGTATGATTGGGATATGGAGATAGTTTTCTAAATGTGTACTTAAGTGCACGAAAAGTACTGCAGGATGAGATAAAAAACTGCAATATATTCAAACGCCATAATTTTTACATTTTTTTAAATTGCATTGAATGAAAGCACAAAATGTCGAAGAAAGCATCAAATTTTAGAATAAGTTTAGATTTGTTCGAATTGGTCACGAATTATGGCCTTCAATCGGCCAATGAAACCGCCACACGCTGCCCAAATGTTGCTCTGCGGTATTTTGGCCTATTCCCAGCGAAGCGTTTGCTTGAGGTGATTGACACTTTGGTATTTTTTAGTGCCAAACTTGCTTTCCAAAATACTACAGACACAATAGCCCAACGGATTGATATCCGGAGATTTTGGTGGCACAATGGCTGGAAATTAAGCGAGGAACCTTATTTTGAACCATTCTTGGTTGGCGCGTGCTGAGTCCTATTGGTATGCCCAAGGTCTGCGGCCAAAACTTTTGCGTGCCCAAGGCTTATTTTTGCGATAATATTTGGCATTTATTCTGATGGCACAGTCGATTAATACGAGCGGAGAGCGACCATCGATTGTTATGGCGGCCCACACCATCACCATCTCACCATTTCTGTTGCGGTGTAAGTTCTTGCACTTTTTGGAACTTCAATGGCTTTACCCCGAGCTCTTTTTTCAATGTTTGCCGAATGGAATATTGCGATATGTTCAGCTCACGAGCCATTTTTCGGCCACTTTACTTTTTGAACCATTTCTGCTGATGTTTTTTTCCGTCCACTTCCTTGAAGTCGGGCTACGCTACCAGTATCACAGTAACGAGCGATGGTACGAGACTCAAGAGGTTTATTCACATTTAATATAGCCACTTGTAGTTTTCCAGCCAAATATAAAGAAATCACACTATCACGCTTGAATTCCATAACAAATAACTTTTTTTCTGGAAAATTGTCACCAAAATGCTTTTGTACGTTTGTAAACAACATACTGAGCTGTCACTGGAATAATTTTAACAGCTGCCGGACTAGTGGCTAAGAAATGACAGCAGTCTGAAGTTGGTTGCAGTTTTTTCATCTCACCCTGTAATTTAACATTAATATGCCTATCCGTGATGCCACGTTGCTTATGTACACCTACTCTGTCAAAAAATTATTTTCATAATTTTTGAACAAGTGTGACTCAAATATTTCAAATCGTTGGGATTCCCTTCAAGGGACCTCTGGCAAACATTAGTATAGGTTTACTCTTTGTAGCATAACATTTAGCTTACTTCATATAATACATCAGCATTTATTAATTACTTTTCAATTTACTCTATACTCTACATAATAAAATTAAACTTTTTTTTTAAAAAAGATCGATTCCATAAAAGGGAAACCACAGTCAACTAAATAAAACAATTCTTAGATGTGTCTTTCGCTTGACTCACAATCACTTAAGGCAATACGGAGTTTTTTTCTGTATTTCCAATTCAAATAAAAAAAGAGAAAAACAATACCTTCTCCATTTCCAAATGCGAAAGACAGGTGTCTCAAATTCAACAATGTCAATACAGTCCCGTTTATGGTTAGCAATTGTATTATGATAGCTTGAGAAAAATGCTTAGCCAAACATTTAAATATTGAAATAGGAATCTTTTATATATATACAAAAAAAAAAAAAATCAGCAAATATTGCTTTATATAGCTACAGCAGGTGTTTGCAAAATAAAATACGCAAAGTCGAATAAGTTGTTTTTATTAAGTATCAATATGTTTTATTTAAAGAAATGTACATGACTTGTTTCAAATTACTTTCTTTGTAGGTACTATGATCCCAAAATCAGGTGGTGATTATGCTTATATTGGCACAGCCTTTGGTCCATTGCCAGCCTTTCTGTATTTATGGGTAGCTCTTCTAATTTTGGTACCAACTGGTAATGCCATAACAGCCCTGACATTTGCCCAGTATTTATTGCAACCATTTTGGCCATCTTGTGATGCCCCAGCGGTACCAGTCCAGCTGCTGGCAGCTGTTATAACATGTAAGTTCTCAACAAACGCAAAAACTTAATAAAAATGTGAATTAATGTTCAAATCTATTTTCAGGTATTTTAACGGTCATCAATTGTTACAACGTCAAATGGGTGACACGTGTCACGGATATTTTCACCGGCACCAAAGTCTTTGCATTGCTGGTCATCGTGGCGGCTGGTGCCTGGTATATATTCTCTGGCAACACCGAACATTGGGATGAACCAATGAGCGGAACATTTTCAACGCCCGGCTTCATAGCATTGGCGTTTTACAATGGTCTATTTTCATATTCTGGTTGGAATTATCTGAACTTTGTAACTGAAGAATTAAAAGATCCATATCGAAATTTGCCCAAGGCAATTTGCATTTCTATGCCCGTGGTTACGATAATCTATGTTATTACGAATGTGGCCTATTTTTCGGTTTTATCAACTGATGAAATTCTGGCGTCGGATGCTGTCGCTGTTACATTTGGTGATAAAATGCTGGGATTTATGTCATGGTTAATGCCTTTCTTTGTGGCCTGTTCCACATTTGGTTCATTGAATGGAGCAATATTTGCTTCGTCTCGTCTGTTCTTTGTTGGAGCCCGAAATGGACATTTGCCAGCTGCTATATCACTCATAAATGTTAATTGTCTAACCCCAGTACCATCGTTGATATTTTTGGTAAGTTTAAGAAATGTCCATTATTTTATCTCCTCGTTTAGGGTTTATCATTAGTATAGTATATGTTCCTTGACTTCAACTCATTTTTTTTTAATTACACTTCGTTACATCGAGTTTTATGTGATACACAAAACGTTAAAAGGCTGATCTGAAATACTTTTGATGAAAATCCATTTTTAGTTAGATATTTTCTCAATAAATCTGTTTCATCGGAAATAATATTTAAGTAACGCTACTTTTAAAAACTATGATATATGCTTCTATACAATTAAGTTAGTGCTTGAAATCTATTCCTCTAAATACGTGGAAATGTGGGACAATCTTTTAGACTGTCTCTTGCACTTACATAAAGTACACTCTACTTTGAATTTAATTTCTGTTATTTTAAATTGCAATTTTGTCTATTTCTTTCAGTGTGTCTTAACGTTAATTTTACTGTTCATCAAGGATGTTTATGCTCTCATCAATTATGTCAGTTATGTGGAAGCCTTGTTTACATTACTCTCCGTTTCCGGTTTATTGTGGCTGCGTTATAAACAACCTAAAACCGAACGACCAATTCGTGTCAACCTGGCCTTACCCATTATCTTCTTGATCATTTGTCTCTTCCTAGTGATCTCGTCGGTCTTCCAGTCACCCATAGAAGTTGGTGTTGGCACAGCTATTATTATATCTGGCATTCCAGTTTATTATATGACAATACATCGTCCCGTCGAATGGCTGACGAACACGTCGCAGACCATTAATATGTGGTGTTCAAAATTCTTTATTTGTATGCCAAACCAAGAGAAATTCGATTAAGAATTTATATATTAGGGATTAAAATATCAATTATTATTATAAGTAATGAAATTAAAAAAGACTAATCGAGAAATATTTATTATGTAAAATATAGAAAGCTGAAATTAAATGCTAATCACTCATCTACAACTGAAAATTGTGCCTTTTGCCTCGCAGAACTCTAACAAATTGGCATTAAAATCTAAAGTTAATTTCAAATAACATTTTCTAAATTTTATAATAAATTCAATTTATTTCCCGATTTCGTTTAATACTTTATTTCAACCTTACGGTTCTATATCACTCCAAAATAAGCAACAAAAGGCATTTATCAATTATGTTATGTATGTACTATAGCTTGAATATTCACATATTTTGTACCTCAACTTTTAATGTACACTTTGTTCTAATTAGATTTAAGATACTTCCTCTCTTGATTAAGACATAGATGCTATACTTATTTATGTTAAATAATAATTTTATATACAATACATAGGTCAGTCAATTATTGTAAAGCTCGAAATATGTTGAAAATTAAATTCAATAAATCATATTCATACATACGTACAGTGTACTTTTTAAAGCGTATTTTTTGTAAGTATCAACCAAATATACAAAGACATAAAATGGTAAAGACTAGACAAAATGAATTTTGAGCAAATGGTTTGTGTCTACAATACAAAGAGTAACAGGTCATGGCAGAGACATGTTAATATAAAAACCACAATTACAGAAAGGAATAACAAATAAAAATTTGAAAAATCCAAAATTTTGGTTTCAAAATTGTATTCCATAAACTTTTCCAGTTAATTGCATATTGCCTTAGCGGTTTAAATCACTTAACATTGGTAACTATGTTGTTACGATATCATGACAACAGAGTTATTTTCAAAGGGTTGCCATATTTTACTCTGTCTTGTCCTATCTTTATACTTCTATGTCTTTGAAACATATTGTGAAATTACATAGAATTTGTGGTTTTAAATAAATGAATCTAGATATATTTTTGAAGTCGATGATTTACGCGAATAAGCCGACGATGACTCAAGCTTAGAAAGATTTTGTTCCATACATAATTTCTTTCTGTCTGCTTTACAGTATAATAACGTTTCATAATTTGTTATTAAATATTGGTGTTTTGTTTAAAATTGGAAAATTGCTTTCCGGTTGGCACACCCTTCATTATGTGCTAAAATACATTCGCCTAAAAGCATGCAATAATTCTGAAATGAAGGTACGCGTTTCGGGTTTGAAAAAAAAAAACGTTTTTATATCGTTTTATTTTTATCATACCCCACACCACATAGTGGTAAGGGTATTATATCTTTGTGCATTTGTTTGTAATATGTAGAAGGAAGGCGAGATAGACCCAAAGTTACTTTTAAGGATCTTCATAGAATCACTTTTTGAGTCGATTTATGCATGTCAGTCCGTCTGTCCATCTGTCCATGTATTCTTGTGAACCAAGTGCAGGTTGCGTTTATTATCCGATTGAGCTGAAATTTTCCAAAAAATATTTGTTTGACTCAAGGACGAACCATATTGAAATTGGTGATAATTGGATCAAATTTAGATTGTGCACCAAATGGCCAATATCAGCTCAAATGACCTGAATTTTGGTACAACCGCATTCAGTCAGATATAGCTATAGCTCCCATATATATGTTTCATCCGATTTGGTGTTTGAGTTCCGCACATTTGTAATATGCATCCCACAAGAATGATATTTGCTACCAGACATCAGATACAGCAAAGGAATGCCTCTGCCAAATTTTGTCAATATTGGTTCAGACTTACATATAGCTCCCATATATATCTTTATCCGGTTTCAGTTTTTTTGTGCACCAAATGGCTAATATCAGCCCAAATTTAATATTGGAGATCAGATTGATCTTTGATTGATTTTAATTAAAACTTGGAAGGGTCATAGTAATTCACTCCTTCTGGTACCTCCCATTCAAGAGTTTCACAGAAAATTATTTATCTCATAGAAAAAAAATTATGTTAACGAATCCTAATTGTGTATCAGTCCCAGATCAGATGCGAAAATGCATAATATCAGCGTACTATTACAAGTACCTTCCTACAAAGGGGTAACATTTTAATAATCGTTTGAGATGAAAAAACTGTAACCAACTTCAGACTGCTGTCATTTCAAAGCACTCGTCGACAGCTGTTAAAATTTCTTCCAGTGACAGGTTATTATATTGTTTACAAGCGTATAAAAGCAATTTGTTGAGAATTTTCCAGAAAAAAAGGTTATTTGCGATGGAATTCAAGCGTGATAGTGTGATTTCTTTATATTTGGCTGGAAAACCACAAGTGGGTATCGTTAGAGCACTCCAGCATTTAAATGGAATAAACCTCTTGGGTCTCGTACCATCGCTCGTTACCGTGATACTGGTAGCGTAGCCCGACGTCAAGGAAATGGACGGATGAAAACAGCAACATCAGCAGAAATGGTTCGAAAAGTAAAGAAGCGACTTGATAGAAACCCGCGTCGCAGTGGCCGAAAAATGGCTCCTGAGCTGAACGTATCGCAATATTCCATTCGGCAAATATTGAAAAATGAGTTCGGGGTAAAGCCATTGAAATTCCAAAAAGTGCAAGAACTTACACCGCAACAAAATGAAAATAGACTCAAAATAGCTAAAGAGTGCTTCGCTTGGCTGAAAGTGGTGAACTGCCGAATTTAGTTTTCTTCGATGAGAAAACATTCGTTGTCTAGCAGTTTGTAAATAAAGAAAATGATCGTGTTTACATGTCAAAGAGGTCAGCTGAAAATGTGAATCTTCGGTTGGCTGCCAGTACTCAAGCACCGGCCATGGTGTTGGTGTGGGCCGCCATAACAATCGATGGTCGCTCTCCGCTCGTATAAATCGACCGTGCCATCAGAATAAATGTCGAATATTATCGCGAAAACATTCTGGAGAGTGTATTAAAGCCTTGGGCACGCAAACATTTTGGCCGCAGACCTTGGACATTCCAACAGGACTCAGCACCATCGCACTCAGAACGCGCCACCCAAGCATGGTTACAAAATGAGGTTCCTCGCTTCATTTCCAGCGCACAATGGCCACCAAAATCTCCGGATACCAATTCATTGGACTATTGTGTCTGAAGTTTAAATGGCAAAATGTCCAAAGGACTGGCTGCGCCATTGCCCAAGTTCGTTGAGTCTCAGGACACACGTAGCTCCTTATTCCTCTACAAATAGTCTTTGCAACATCTCAAAGGCTTCAAGTTAAGTAGTCTCTGACTTCTTTTAGATTACCTGAAGAGCTCAGTCTCGACGTAGTATAATCTGCAATTTTAACCCTTCCTTGCGTTTCTATGTAGTTTTGGTGAATCCTCAGAACACTCAGAGGAGACTTTCCAGTTCATAATGAGATATTCATCAATTTCCTCTTCCCTGTCTTTATTCTGAAACGTAGCCTCGTTACCCGTGTTACATATTTTGAGATTGTTTTTAAGAATAAAATCAAAAAAGCACTAACCTCACCACGTCCAACAATGAGATTACCCCTGCTTCTCAGCTCCTATTTACTACTACTATTTAGCCTGGAGGGTCGCTGTGCTCATACGGCAAGTAAATGGAGATGAAGATAGAAACCCTACACTGAAATTATTAAGGAAGAAAAAGTATGAGTTCTTCTTATCGACGATACACGTTCTTACCTTTTTTCCATTGGTGGTGGCTTAAGAGATGAACCGTTCATACCCTAACCCTTAAAGATATAAATACTTTAATGACCAGGCCTAGTCGCAGGTTGTCCGTCCGAATGTTGAGATTTTGATTTCCCCATATAGTCAGCACGCGTGTCGGATCCACCGACGGCGGCATCTATTATATACCAAAGGGGTTGGTATATTTTGTAAGTTTTAAGTTTCATATTTGAAACAATAACATTGTACAAAATGTGCCATCATCAAAATTTTGAATACTTTGAAGTGCAGTTATATGGAAACTATAAGACGTGGATCTACATAGACAATATTCTGCCAAGGTTAGTAGGATATATTACGAACTCATTAGAAAATGTGGCTTATATCGACAAAATACAGAATATCGTATCGAGCGTCTACTATCCGCAACCTGTGGACGCATCCGGTAGCACTCAGCTATGCAGTCCCCATATAACGGTACCCCCCGATATTCGGTATTTTTAAGATTTTAGCGACATTATTCGCCGGAGTTGTTTCAAATTTGGTATTTGAAGTTCGTAGTGGATACTACAGCCTCTGACAGAAAATTTGTGCAGGTCCACGTCTTCGTATAGCCCCCATATAACACTACCTCCCAATATACGGTATTTTGATGATTTTAGCGTCATTATTCACCGGAGTAGTTTCAAGTTTCGAATTTAGAGTTCGTAATGGGAACTACAGCCTGTGACAGAAAATTGTCTATGCAGGTCCAGGTCTTCGTATAGGACCCATATATCAGTACCTCTCTATAATCGATATTTTGAAGATTTTTGATACAATACTCACCGAAATTGTTTGATATGTCGTATTTGAAGTTCGTAATGCATGCTACAGCCTGTGACAGAAAATTGTCCAGGTGTTCGTATAGCTCCGATATTACGGTATCTCCCTATATATTTGATGATTTTAGCTACATTATTCACCGTTTATTTAAAGTTTCGAATTTGAATATGGTACTGGCTTTTGACAAACATTACCTATGTAGGTCCATAGACTTCAATATAATGGCTATATTCGGTATTTTTAAGACTTTAACATAATTTTGAACTGATTTTATTTTTTGAAAATTTCCAAATTAGTTCCAAATGGTGGAGGGTATTCAAAATTCGACCCGGCCGAACTTTCTGCTTTTTAACTTGTTTGTCATTTAAATTGTGCGTTGGAGACCCCATAAAGTCCATATTTTTCATCAGAGTATAATTCAATGATGATAAAACACATGTTCGGTGTCGTGCCACCTTCTAATATTCGTCATTTTTTCATGTTTCTGCCACAATTTTCAACTGTCATTTCGGAGTTTATTTCATATAGACGTACATCCTAAATCTACGTTCCCAACGAATATTCTCTTGGGAGTTACAAATTCAATAGAATACGAAATTATCTTTTCTGACCACACATTGGTGGGGAAAATGTACTTGGGGGTATAATGTATAGTATAATGTGGGGACTATATTTCAATAAATGCCTATGTGGACATTTATATATAATCCATCCTCCATCCATATCCAAATTTAGACTCATCAATATGATTTGCTTGTCTACGATATTTGGCTATATTCGTCAACGAAATCAGCATAAAAAAGCCAGAAGTTCGCCTTTTGCGTATTTCGGATATCGCCTGTAAGTAATGCTGGTATTTTTTCACACAAAAGTAGTGGGCCATTCTACCCGATGTATTAAACTCTAATTTTATGCGTGATTTCGTGTCCTTTGATTTCTATTTGTGACCTTTATAACGGCTGCAAAATCCGGAACATTTTCAGATGTTGGTCCATTTCAACCGCTAAATATATTGCGGACATCTTTGAAAACAATAGGCCTAGGCCCTTCTGAGTCTAACCCTACCCTTGTGAAAAATTTCGT